GCGGCCTGCCAGTAAACCCAAAGCAGAAGAAGAAGAAGTGACGTCAGCGGCTCATTTGCCTAATCCACCCCCAGGAACTCATTTTGGTGTGAACGCGATCTGCTTTAGTTCATCAGAACTAAAAGAGCTCTCATGAACTAAAGTTCTCATGAACGATTGTGGGAAAAGTACTTGGTGTGAACGCCCCTATTGTCATGTGTACAGAGCTACAGTGTAGATCTGACAATGAAAATCTGAGGTCACAGGCTCCTCCAACAGAGCAACACAATAAAGCAGATACAATAGTGCAAGTAAATACAAATACAATATAATATAATAGAAATAGTGCAGAATAGTCTATAGTAATTGGAATATTAATATATATAAGTTGCAAACAGATGAATGTTTATGGATGTTCTTCACAGAGTTCAGGTGTTTAACAGTGTCATGGCCTGTGGGGTGAAACTGTCTGAGTCTGGTGGATTTAGTCCTGATTTCATGACATGAATTCAATATATTTCAGTGGAGGAGAATTCCTTTATGAATAAAGCAGGTGACTTTACATTGTAAATGGCCGTACCTCTTCATGACGAGGAACAGCGTGCGGTTGTTTCCCAGCCCGCCGGGGTTCAGGCTGCTTTTACACGGGAACGTTTGCGTTTATGCACAGTATGCGTTTTCAAAAAAGTATTCCGTTCACATGCATTCGTTTCATTTAACGTGTCTGTTCAAACGAGACCGCTGGAAACGCTGTAGTACATATGCCGGGACTGTAAGTGGCGCTGTAACTTCCGCCACAAAATACACCAAAAGCTACCCTTCTGTTTATGCCCCGCGGTGGATTTAGCAACATGTAGTAGTTCATGTAATTCTCCATGTCCACTTGTTGCTGATGGATGTGGTAGAGGAGCTGTAGATTTTGCACTAACATCTGTAGCATGGTCAGTAGCAGTAGCACTAGCAGTAGCTACTGACAGTAGCTACTGGCCATGCTACAGCAGTGAGCAGCAGAGGCGGGGAGAGGTGGGGCTATCGTTATTTTTTCAGGAAATATTCGTATAGAGGCGATTACACAGACTCGTTTGACCCCCCAGAGAGTTTCGTTTGCAAATCTATCCACCTTGGGACCCGTTATCGTTTGTGGGGTCCGTTTCTATCGGCCTCGTGTAAATAATAGGGCTATACGTAAGAGAAACTATGCAGATACAAGCCATTTCGTTCTCGTGTAAATGTGGCCTCAGACTGGCGGGCAGGACGTCGGGGTATTCCTCCCTCGCCCCGGGGGAGCAGCGGCACCTGAGAGAGAGAGAGAAATTGACTGGTCTTATAAATCTCTTTATCAGTTATCTGCAAACCCTTAAAGCTCTTTACAGACTACGAGTCATTCACCCATTCACACCTCATTCATGCAGAGCAGCACCACTTGCTCTAGGGAAACACACACACACACACACACACACACACACACACACACACACACACACACACACACACACACACACACACACACACACACACACACACACACACACACACACACACACACACACACACCTGTGCTCAGTGAGGGCAGTACAAACTGATAAACTGGGTCAAAGTTATGGGCCCAGGAAAATATTTCCCCAACAAGTATCTTGCCCAAGGCCACATCGACATGTTGCCTGAGGGGCTGGGATCGAACCAGCAACCTTCTGGTTTAAAGACGATCACACTCAATGGTGTTCAGGCCTTCAGAGGGGGGAGAGACACTCACTCACACACACTCACACACACTCACACACTTAAACACACTCACACACACTCAACTCACACACACAGCGGGAGTGTAACTCTCACCCGTCCAGAGGCTCCTCCCCCTCCAGCTTCAGGGCCAATCGGCCGGCAGGAACCAGCTCCTGAGACATCGAGCTCAGGATCGCCTCGCTGGAAGACCCCGCCTGAAACACAGCCACTTTCCAACACAAGACAATTCAAAGTGCTTTACAAAAATGAAAGACATTAAGAGCATAATAATAATAATACATTTCATTTATATAGCGCTTCATCTGCCAAGACAAATCTCGAAGCGCTTCACAACAAAGGACACTGATAACATTTGAGAGATTAAACAAATAATAATAATAAAAAATAAATAAAAATAAAATATAAAATATAAAATATAAAATATAAAATATAAATAAATAAATAAAAATAAGAGTCGGAGATAGCGATAAAAATGGCAGTACTCCAGGTGTACCATGCTCAAAAGTTTATTGGAAGGCCTGCCGAAAGAAGAGGGTCTTAAGGCCGGTTTTGAAGACCTCGGTGGAAGGGGCAGATCTCAGCTGATCTGGGAGGGAGTTCCAGAGGCGCGGGGCGAATGAGCAGAAGTCTCCCATTGTTCGGAGACGTGTGCGGGGGATGTAAAGAAGAGGAGCGTGGCTGGAGCGGAGGGAGCGGGTAGATGTCTGGGTACGGATGAGGTCACAGAGGTATTTTGGGCTTTGTCCATTCAGGGCTTTGTAAGTGAGGAGCAGAACCTTAAACTGGATCCTGTAGTGGACTGGGAGCCAGTGTAGTTGGGCAAGTATGGGGGTTATGTGTGCGGACCTTTTTGCACCGGTGAGAACTCTGGCTGTACTGTTCTGGACAAGTTGCAGGCGGTTGATGGATTTGGCTGGGAGACCGGAGAGGAGTGCATTGCAATAGTCTAGACTTGAGAAGACGAGTGCATGAACCAGTTTTTTGGTGTCATCAGTTGAGAGTGAGGGCTTCAGTCGGGAAATATTTTTCAGGTGAAAGAAGGAGGTCTTGGTGATGTGTTTGATGTGGGCCTGGAAAGACAGAGTGGGGTCAAACCTTACTTTCAGGTTGGTGACAACAGAGGAGAGAGAAATGAGCTGACCATCAAGGGAGGGGCTGATGTTGGCGGCCTTGGCAAGCTGGTCGGTGGTGCCTATCAGGATTGCCTCCGTCTTGCTGCTGTTGAGCTGGAGGTAGTTGGTGGTCATTCAGGAGCGGATGTCTTCCAGGCAGGTGTATTCAACTAATCCATGTAATAAACAGTTTTTAACGGTATATATATATTGCACATATTGCACATAGTTGGTATTTAACAACAAGGGGTGTTATAGTCTGTGTTGTTGTGTGGGGGGTCTACTAGGGGTCGTGGTGGTTATTTATGCGGCTTTCACACCAGCGCTTTTCCCTTTCTAGCTCCTAGCTAGAGCTTTTCTGGTTCAGCTCCGGTTTCCCTTTTCAGCTCCCGCTCTGTTCACACCGCCCAGCTGCCGCTGCTGCGTCATGACGTCACTGTTTACATCGCTGATTTTCTCCCCAACGGAGCTCACAAGAACAACGGGGGGGGGACTGCGTCGGGTCGATGATCGTGTTGCTTTTAATCATACGAAGCCAGATTAAATTAAATAACGACTTCTCCAACCTTATACTTTTCTCCAGAGTGCCGTGGTTCATTGTTTATTAATGTGTTTCAGCGGCATGTACCGACCGCTGCAGTGCTGGCTGCTCTTCCACGGGAGTTTATTCTCCCGTTAGCTCCGGGTTAGCTCACACGGCTCTAAAGTATTCACTGTCTGACTGTCACACAAGCAGCTGATACATATCCCCAGTTCCCCTTAAGTGAATGTGTGTCAGTCTGAATTGACGCTGTTTGGCATCACAACGCTGTTATGAAAGTTTCTCTGGTATAACATGGGTGATGTTAGCATAGCAACCGAAGCTAAACTGACTACTTGCTAAGCCGTTTTCTACAGGCACATTTTACCGGCATATTTTTCATTATGATTCTACTTGTGATAGTCGGACATGACAACCTGTGCAGCCCATGTATTGATTCCATCCGATAGCTGCTATAATAACAAACAAAACGTCTGCCTGCTCTCCACAATGATCAATAACAGCGAACGGATGGTCAAAGTAAGGTACAAATAAACAGAATCACACAAAGCCTGGTTAGTGTTGCCTGACTTTATAAAATGTGTTTTTTTTTTTATAAGTGTGTGGTTGCCTTCAAGTCACTTTGCTCAGCGCTACTGCTTGTAGGCAGGCATGACGAGACTCTTCAGTCGACCCATGTTCAGGGATTTGGGTTTAGTTTCCTGCACGCCTCGACGTAAGAGACGCCGCGTCATAGCTCCGAAGCTCTTGTCTCTAGACCGACAATTTTTTGGAGCTGGAAGTGAACCGCATTCCGGAGCTATGAGGCGGCGCCGCTGCGGTGTGAACAGGAAAAACCGGCGCTTTTCCAGCTCCAGCTCCGAGCCGGAGATGGAAAAGCGCCGGTGTGAAAGGGGCAATAGTCTGACCGCTGTAGGAAGGAAGGACCTGCGGTATCTCTCTAATGTGTAGGTGGTCCAATACTTTTGTCTATATTGTGTATAATTGAGTATCATCCGCATAACAGTGAAAATGTCCCGAGTGATTCCTTATTGCCTAAAGGAAGCGTATATAATGTGAACACAATAGGTCCAAGCTCTGAGCCCTTATGCTTTGCTGCGGCAAAACTGGCTGGATCAAATCAAACAGAACTCTAAACACATTTTCAGCTCTGCACACAATCTGCAATTCAACTCTGCACTTTCTAAAACACTGCACACGGTTCTCTGAGTAACACACAGAGATCTGACATATTCACCTGTCAGCCATTTTCAACACACTGCCATTAAACATGCTACACATATGAGCCAATGAACAGATACACATGCCAGCTTACCGTTAACGCCTGGCTGCTTTACTGCTGACTCAGCAATCAGGATATAAGTACAACAAATTTGATATTCATTTTAAAAATGTGTTTATTTATTACAGAGCTGAGAAAATAATATTTAGTCTTAAAGCTACATGAAAAAAAAAATCAAATATCCTGTTTATGAAATACACAAGAAAAGAAAGAAGATTGAAGTCGTTGATTCATGAGAAAAGCACTCGGATAGAAAGTCAGAAACATTTGATTAAAATAAATGTAAATAACATGTCCAAAGAAAGTATTCAGAGTAATTCTTATTACAGTTTTATATTTGTTTTATATATTTCACAAATGATCTGCTTTGACTGCAGCTTGAGAAACTTCTGGATTCAGTCTGAAAGCATCCTTTTTTAACTTTCAACATGATCTTTAATAATGTTGTAGTGTAGTTTAACTCTGAGAGGTCGACTGGTTGGACTCCTCACTGGGACTCTGGTTCTGGAGCAGCTTGCAGGGTCCAGGAGTTCTTGGAGAGAAGGAGCGCTTCCTGCCGCAGGACTCGGGGGATGGGAGTTCCTGAACATGGAGAAACAGCTTCAGTTATTATGCTCCAAACATCTGGAACAAAGTCACAGAAAGAATGTGTCTGCAGCTCAGAGAGTCCTGCTGGGAACCCACACATGTTGAGGAGCCCAAAGTGTGATGAGAGGAATGTACAGTACGGGTCCCCAGCACATAGAAGCTGCCGGATGCTAACCTGCATATGTTGGGAGAGCTCTACAGATCAGGAGAGGAACTAAGTACATTTACTCAAGCACTGTACTTAAGTACAATGTTGAGGTACTTGTACTTTACCTGAGTATTTCCATTTTAGGCTACTTTGTACTTCTACTCCACTACAGTTCAGAGGTAAATGGTGTACTTTTACTCCACTACATGTATTTAATACCTTTAGTTACTTTACAGATGTGGATGAATGATGTGAAATATAATCAAGTGTTAAATCAGACTTTAGTTCCACCTGGAGTAAATCCACAAGCTACCCTGCAGTATACAAAGTCATTCAAACTAGCTGCACCTTTACCAGCTTTGAGAACACTTTCATGATCAATCATTATAAAACATATCATATTATTCTGAAATGGACCAATCTGCACAATGACTACTTTTACTGTCGCTACTTTCACTATATTTTGATGAGAATACTATTATACTTTTACTTGAGGAACATTTTGAATGCAGGACTTTTACTGTAACAGAGTATTCCTACACTCTGGTACTTCTACTTTTACTCAAGTACAAGATCTGAGTACTTCTACTTTTACTCAAGTACAAGATCTGAGTACTTCTACTTTGACTCAAGTACAAGATCTGAGTACTTCTACTTTTACTCAAGTACCAGATCTGAGTACTTCTACTTTTACTCAAGTACCAGATCTGAGTACTTCTACTTTTACTCAAGTACAAGATCTGAGTATTTCTACTTTTACTCAAGTACAAGATCTCAGTACTTCTACTTTTACTCAAGTACAGATCTGAGTACTTCTACTGTTACTAAAGTACAAGATCTGAGTCATTCTACTTTTACTGAAGTACAAGATCTGAGTACTTCTACCTTTACTCAAGTACAGATCTGAGTACTTCTACTGTTACTAAAGTACAAGACCTGAGTACTTCTACTTTTACTCAAGTAAAAAATCTGAATACTTCTACTTTTACTCAAGTACAAGATCTGAGTACTGATATTTTTACTGGAGTACAAGATCGGAGTACTTCTACTTTTACTCAAGTACAAGATCTGAGTACTTCTACTTTTACTCAAGTACAAGATCTGAGTACTTCTACTTTTACTCAAGTATATTTTGATGATAATCCTGTAACAGACTGGTTATAATGTTGATGTTTTCATGTGTTTTTTTCTTCAGAGTTTATTTACATTTTACAGAGTGTCAGTGAACGCGTCACTGTTTTGATAGACAGTTGTTGTGAAGAGAAACAGCCAAAATGATGAAGAGAGAGAAACAAGAGTGTTGTTTTCCTCTGAGGACATGCTCCATGAAAGAGTTTCATATCTTGATGAATGGAGGATATTCAGTACTCACAGTTCTTCTGGATCTTGGCTATGATCGTCACATTATCTCTGATCCTGTAGGGATGAACACAATCCAACAGTTATGGATCCAGTTTAAAATAAGTGTTTGTTCCTTGAGTCAGCTTCAGAGTCCTGACTGATCTCATGCTTTACATCCCATCATATCTTCTCTGCAAACACTACGACTGACTGCCACAGCTCTCAGCTGCATGACAGGAAGTAACAGTCATTAGTCAAGGAGCTAAAAACATCCCATCAAAAACAGACTACCTTTTCCACTCTTCTGTCAAATCCCATATGTCTGGTGGAAAGTTGATTACTTACTAAATGTGGCATTGCATTTTCAGCTGGCCTTCTATAGTTGATGGAAGAATGAAAGAGCCTGCAGTCAGTGGGTAACATCACTGATCTGTTGTGATTCCCCAGTGAGAGAAACACCTCCCTGTGTTTAATACAATACTGCTGAACCAGCAGAGACCCCTTACTGACCTGAGGGTCTCCAGTCTGCAGTCTGGACTCTCCAGAAGATCTCTCAGCAGCTTCTCTCCTGAATCCTGCAGAGCGTTGTCACTCAGGTCCAGATCTCTCAGATGGATGTTGGACTTCAGAGCTGAGGCCAGAGCAGAACAGCTGATCTCTGACAAACTGCAGCCCCTCAGACTGAATAAAGAAAACATGATGAGGATAAAAATCAGTTTATAATCCAATCAGATGTTACTCAACATTTAACCTGTTAAGCACCAAGCCTGTTTTTCATGTTTCAGGCTCGAAAATGACATGCCCAAAACAAATGACTACAACTTAACTTCTAAAAGGGTTATATGAATAATTTATTTTATCAAAGCAAGGTTACATCTGTGAGTTGGATGTAGAAGTGTCAGAATCAATATAAATGTTTTTTATTTTAAAGAAAATTCAGATTTTACATAGTAAAAAACTGTAAATTATAGTGTCCGTCCAAAAATTATTTTTTACAGATAGTGAAAACTACCCTTGGATGATGGGTTAGTAGACTAAAAGCTTTAGGAATCCAAAGTACAACATATAATAAGTACCCTGTATCAAGATTGATGCAAAACAAGTGACATTTGACCTTTTTAGAGAGGTTTAGCCAAAACCACCCCACCTCTGAGGTGATTTGGGTGAAAATGTTTTTTTTCCATATCTCTGGCCCCCCTTGGTCGATTTTGATGGTTGACACCTCTTTCTGACCGTTAGAGCCAATAGAATCGAAGGGGGAGGCCCCCACACACACACGTTGTGAAGAGAAAAGGTGGGGGCTGCGCGCATGTACATTTGCAGCAGAGTGGACCTATCTCTAGCTCTGACATTTGGAAACGAAAAAGCAGTTTTATTGCTTATGGATTATCAGAAATCATTTCAAAGAGGACACAGACACATTGGACTAACCTATGGATTAACTGCAGCATCGTTTTTTTATCGTTTTAATGCCATTGAAGACCAGTTTTGACTAAGGTAAGCCATGTTAGCGTTTCTAGCTACCTAGCTCCACATGTTATGATGTACGCTTTTGTTTATAGCGTCGCAAATGTTTATCACTGAGTGTTGAGGTGGGCACCACTAGATTCTGTGTCTCCAGCTGATGCAAAACGAGTGGTTGGCTGTGCATCTAGGATAAGTAATAAGGGAGTTATTGTGAGTTTAGGTGCAGTGATAGGTTACATTTTTCGCTCGTGGCTAATTCAGAGGCTGAGTGTTGGCATTGTGGGGTTTTTTTGGATTTTTTTTTTTAACCTGTTCCACTCTGAGCCTGTTTTTCAGGTCTCAGGCTCGAAAATGACATTCCCAGAACAAATGACCATATCTTCCCTTCTAAAAGGGTTAAATTAATAATCTTTGTTCTCAAAGTAATGATAAACCTGTGAGTTGGATGTAGAAGTGTCAGAATCAATATAAATGTTTTTTATTTTAAAGAAAATTCAGATTTTACATAGTAAAAAACTGTAAATTATAGTGTCCGTCCAAAAATTATTTTTTACAGATAGTGAAAACTACCCTTGGATGATGGGTTAGTAGACTAAAAGCTTTAGGAATCCAAAGTACAACATATAATAAGTACCCTGTATCAAGATTGATGCAAAACAAGTGAAATTTGACCTTTTTATAGAGATTTAGCCAAAAACTGGGCCATCTGGGGTCATTTGGGTGGATTTGACCTATCTCTGGCCCCCCTTGCTCGATTTGGTTGGTTGACATACCCTTGTGACCGTTAGAGCCAATAGAATCGAAGGGGGAGGCTCCCACCCAGACACGTTGTAGAGAAAAAATGTGGTTGCTTCGCGTGTGGAAAACGAAACCAAAGTGGAGGAATGTCTCCTTCTGGAGTTTGGAAACTAAAACGCAGTTGTATTGCTTATGGATTATCAGAAATAATTTCAAAGAAGGCACAGACACATAGGATGAACCTATGGATTAACTGCAGCATCGTTTTTTTATCGTTTTAATGCCATTGAAGACCACTTTTGACCAAGGTAAGCCATATTTACGTGTTTAGCTTCTTAGCTCCACATGTGATGATGTACGCTTTCGTTTAGAGCGTCGCGAATGTTTATCACTGAGTGTTGAGGAGGGCACCGCTAGATTCAGTGTCTCCAGGACACCAAAAAAGAGTGGTTGGTTGTGCATCTAGGATAAGTAATAAGGGAGTTAGAGTGAGTTTAGTTGCCTTAGTATGTTACGTTTTTTTCGCTTGAGGCTAATTCAGAGGCTGAGTGCTAGCAATGTGGGTTTTTTTTGAAAAAAAAAATTAAAAAGATCAGTTAGCTGAGTTTCTTCCCGTTACATGGATATAACACATTCATAGTTTTATTCAATATTAAGATTCCTTAGACGTTGTTTCCTGCAAATGACGCGTTTATCCGCCCGGTACCGGGGGGAAGGTGTGAAACAGGTTAAAAGATCAGTTAGCTGAGTTTGTTCCCGTTACATGGATATAAAACATTCATAGTTTATTAAATATTAAGATTCCTTAGACGTTGTTTCCTGCAAATGACGCGTTTATCCGCCCGGTACCGGGGGGGCCGTGCGTAACAGGTTTAAGTGGACCTATCATGCTATATTATAATAATATAGTGTAGGACCATACCTATATAAGGCATATTTATACTTTTTTTTTTTCAAAATACCAAACAGGTCATGCATTTCAGCCATGCCTCATTTCACTAAATGTTACCCCTGTTTTTGCAAGGGCTGATTCTGTGAGAACAGCACCACCTACAGGCCTGGCATATGTACTACAGCGTCTCCAGCGCTTTCGAACGGCAATGGCCGTGGCTGTCTCCTCCTGATTGGTGGAGTTGGCCCAATAGCCGTAGCGCCACCGTCCTGACGTCAGGACAGTGTTCAAATCTGGATCAGTTTTTATCAGATCCGTTGCAGCCCCTTTTTTAGAGATTTGGGTATGGAGGAAAATAGAGAGGGTTGTGTTTTCTGACACTTGGTGAGTTCCCTGGAACACCAGGGACACATATTCATGTAGAAAAGACGTACAAAAGTGCATTTTGCATGATAGGTCCCCTTTAAAGGACAGAGAACAGAAAAATCTGTCTACTTCAGAAAGTAAACTTTATCATGTAAAACTAAAATGACTACAGATGACCTTTATTCAGATGTTATTGTTTACAAAATATTAAATACATAGATTTACTTTTTACAACTAACATATATGGCAGTTACTTCAAGAAACAGTCAACATTTATGTCTGCAGTTCTTTCTTCTTACTTTTTAAAAATGAAACATGAATATAAGGACATGTACAACTCTATGGATGTAAGTTATTAATGAATATAAATGAGGTTCAATCACAAAGTGAACATGTGAAATCTCCAGCAGTAACAGAGAGTCAGTGAACTGACCTGAGAGTCTCCAGTCTGCAGTCTGGACTCTCCAGAAGATCTCTCAGCAGCTCCACTCCTGAATCCTGCAGATCATTGTCTCTCAGGTCAAGATGTCTCAGATGGATGTTGGACTTCAGAGCTGAGATCAGAGCAGAACAGCTGATCTCTGACAAACTGCAGCTCCTCAGTCTGAATAAAGAAAACATGAGGATAAAACCCTGTTTATAATCCAATCAGATGTTACTCAACATTTAAATGAATCTGAACAGAAAAATCTGTCTACTTCAGAAAGTGAACTTTATCATGTATGTAATAGAAACATATTATACTCACTTACTTACTTTAATAATATCATTGTGTGATTCTTATTTGCTAATGTTTATCTATATTTACTACTTCTCACACTTCTTAGCTAAGCTTGGGGAAAGTCCTTATGAAGAAGATGTGTTGCAGTGTTGTTAGTGACTCTCTATGTGCACCAACAGTATGACCTTCACCTCAGGTGAACTGAGGACTTCTTGATACGGCCTCCCTAACTCCCTAACTCCCAGAATGCTCCTTCATCATCACCAAGCTTCCCCCCTCCCTTTCTCCTCTCTCTGTGTTTAAATATGCAACCCAAACTCTACTCTTCCTCTTCCTCTCTGCAGACTGTATGCTCTCTGTGTGACTGACTGAACTTTCTTCAAGAAATAAAATACCACAAAGAGCTGAATGCTTTGATTCTCTCTCCACATTTGATGAATAAATTCCCACCACAACGTAAAACTAAAATGACTTCAGATGACCTTTATTCAGACGTTATCGTTTACTAAATATTAAATACATAGATTTACTTTTCACAACTAACATCTATTGCAGTTCCTTTAAAGTGGACCTATCATGCTATATTTGAATAATATAGTGTAGGACCATACCTATATAAGGCATATTTATACTTTTTTCTTTTCAAAATACCAAACAGATCATGCATTTTAGCCATGCCTCATTTCGCTCAATTTGCACTTTTTTTTAGCTCTGCTCTGCAAGGGCAGATTCAGTGAGAACAGCACCATCTACAGGCCTGGCATATGTACTACAGCGTCTCCAGCGCTTTCGAACGGCAATGGCCGTGGCTGTGTCCTCCTGATTGGTGGAGTTGGCCCAATAGCCGTAGCGCCACCGTCCTGACGTCAGGACAGTGTTCAAATCTGGATCAGTTTTTATCAGATCCGTTGCAGCCCCTTTTTTAGAGATTTGGGTATGGAGGAAAATAGAGAGGGTTGTGTTTTCTGACACTTGGTGAGTTCCCTGGAACACCGGGGACACATATTCATGTAGAAAAGACGTGCAAAAGTGCATTTTGCATGATAGGTCCCCTTTAAGAAACAGTCAACATGTATGTCTGCAGTTCTTACTTCTTACTCTTAAAAATGAAATATGAATATAAGGACATTTATAACTCTATGGATGTAAGTTATTAACGTAGGGGGCCTGCCCATCCAGGATTTGGGCCCATGAGAAATCAGGGCTGATTAAAAACATTGAATTGTTTTATTATTTATTGGGAATGTTGATACAGCATTCCAACTGATTGTTCTTCTACGGACGAAATTCTTTATTATTATTCCGTCGGGTTATTTTGTCCCTCTTCTTCTCCCACATTCCACATCGCAGAAACTCCGTTCAAA